TATACCAAAAGTCATCTGAAATAAACCATTAGTGCGTGTGGGTGTATGTGTGTGAGAGAGAGACAGAGAGAGAGAGAGACAATGCCCTGAAAAGAACGCCCTGTAATCTAAGAACATCAAGGAGTTAACAAAAATATTTACCAAAAAGCTTCAGAGGGTCAATACAATCCATTGATGTAAGAGAAACGGGTGATTTCGTAACACTGCTTAGAGATGATTTCGACTAAATATATAACATCTTATAATCATATAAACCATTATAATTTAGGTGATCTCAGGGATAAAGAAGATAAGTATCGTTTCAGTTACATTCTCTAATAAGTACCAGGTGTTGCGGCAGTTAGGCGAAGATGTAAGCACTGAACTTTGCTGGGAACAGATCAATGAAATATAAAATGAATCTTGTGTAAAAGTCTTTGATAAGAAGGAAAGGAGGAAACATAAGACATGGATAAGACCAGAAAAAAAATGATCTAAGAAAGGGGCAGTAAAAAGGTAGACTTAAACAACAACCAGACTAGAGCTGCTAAAGTTAGAGCACAGGAAAAATACATAGAAGCTAATAAGGAAATTAGGAGGCGTTTAGGGGTAGATATAGCAAAAATAAGCGGAGACAACGGCAAAGAAAGGAAACTTCAGATACCTTTACAGTAACACAAAGAAATCAGCAGATAAATATAGTCCGCAAACTGGATCAATCAAAATATAGTTAAGAAAAGGTACTTACCAATAATAAAGATCAAATGGACACATAGGCTGAGTATTTGAAATACTTCTAAACAGACCAACCTCAGAGGTTCCTCCAGATATCAAGCCTTCAGAGATGGAAATAGATATCAAGTGAGAGATACGATCTAAAGAGGAAATTAGAAAAGCTGTCAATATTCTGAAGGAAGGAAAGGCAGCAGGACCAGATGGTATCCTAGAAGAAGCTATTAGGCTAATATAAACACATTGGCGAAGTTTAAGCATAGATTATTTAGTAAAGATTCGGAGACCAAAGAAATACCAATAGACTGAAAAGAAAGATGTCTTGTGAAACTGCAACCAAAAACATGAGTGTAAGAACTATTTAAGAATTATGTTGCTGTTAGTTCCTGGAAAAATATTAAGTAGAATTAGTATGGTAAGTGACCTACGGGTGTGAGTCATGGGCAATGACAACAGCTCACAGAAGCCAACTTCAGATCTCAGAAATGAGATATCTGAGAAAGGTGGTCCAAGTGACAAGAAGGGACAAAGTTCGCAATCAGACAATACGTCAAGATCTTGATACCCAGTCCTTGCAAACCCGAGTGGATCAGTCATATTTGCGATGGTTTGGACATGTATGCAGAATGGGAGAAAATCGGCCACCATGGCAGGCATGGGAGGCCAAGAACCAGGGAACCAGACCTCTAGGGCGACCCAGGGTGCGCTGGGAAGACAACATCCGACAGTCCCTAATTGACGGAGGACTGGAATGGAACAAAGCCAGAAAGAAAACTGCTGATAGAGACGTCTGGCAATCTCTCTGGCAAACCTCTAAACCCCAAGGTAGAAGAGGAGTTACTAAGTAAGTAAGTAAGTAAGTATGGTAAGAATAAAAGATGCTATAGATAACACGCTAAGAGATGAACAGACAGGTTTTTGGCCAAACAGATCGTGCACTGAGCAGATAGCCACACTACGTATAATAATAGAGCAAAAAATTGAACTGAATTCTCCACTTTGCATTGGATTCATAGACTATGAAAAACTTCTAACAGCACTGGTAGGAAATCTCTCTGGAAATTAGTGGGGCACTGTGGAATCCCACAAAACATTATTAACTTAGTAAAAGCAACATTAAAAGACATGACTTGTCGAGCTCTTCATGAAGGAAAACTAATAAATAAGGGGGAAAGGAAAATACAAAGATACTGAGAATAAATCAGGCAGATAGCATTGTGGTTTCTCTTAATGGACTCTAAGACGCACAGAGTCGTACAACTATTAGGGCAATAATGTCAGGAGAGATGGAGGAAGTGTTAGAGGTATTTAAAGGAATGCACAAGGCACAAGCCGCTTTCATAGTACTAGAGAATTTGTTGAGGTCAAACGAAAATGAAAACTTATACTAAACTTAAAAAAAATGTAATTCAAATGTCAAATCACAACTGGTGAATGGGTACGGAAACATGGAGATCAACTAAGGCAATTACTAATAAACTACAAACATTCATTAACTGGTGCCTGTGCTGAAAAGAAGGAAATGGTATGATAGAATCACAAATGTAGAGCTTTGGAAGAGAACTAAACAAGTTCGAGTGGACTAAGAGGGAAGAAATGTTGCTGGCGTTAGATAGGAAACACGTTGAGAAAACCTTATAGCAAATATAACTAGGATGTCTTTACAAAGGAAGGATTCCCCCCCCCCCCCCCCCCCCGAAAAAAAACCATATGGAGAAAAAAATATAGTCGCCAAAAATAAAACGTAATTTCTTTAATATATAATATAATAGTGTTAATAAGAGAAATACAAATGTTAATGATACATAAATGACATTGATAAGAGATAGAATAAAGTAATAATATGAAATAAAAGAAAAGAATTTAAATTTAAAACTGTTTGGATGAAGGTATGTTGGATATTGATACCACCTGGACTAAAAACGCCAAGGCTGTTGATGAGGCGATTTTCCAAAGCGAGGCGCGTAGTGTGATCCGCAGAGCAAGATTGTAATGCTGTGACAGATATATTATCTTTACCTCTGTGGTCAGAGCTATTAAAATTTGCGCAACACAAGACTCTTAATGCCTATTCACCTCTCTTGCCTACATCACCTTCACATGGTGGACCCTGTTCTTTCCAGCAATCTAGTTGAAGGTTGGGATCTCAACTCCCAGCTGGAAACTTAACGGGACAACAAACGAGATGAAGGCGAAGAGATTAGCCCACACTCTCCTCGAGTATGATCACAGTTTACCCTAGCAAAACAAGATGCTGAAGTCGGAGGCAGCCAGCCAGGAGGCGAACCACAGCAATCAGGATGCCACGCTCACACGCCATGGAAAATCTTCCTAATTTCAGACCATTATGGGAAGCCGTATTGGACGTGACTCACGGTTATGTCAGATCTGCAATAACTTCCATAGTCTTGTTAGGAAATATGACCTCAATATCTGCAGACGTTGTTTCATGCAATATCCTGATGAAATTGGATTCAGAAAACCTAGACTGTGCCCAGCTTGTAATGTCTGTAGTGAAAGAATGCAGAAATATCATCAGCGACTTCTAGATCATCAAGCTGTTTTGTAGGGTTCCACTGAATTCCATTCCTCGGATTAACAGTTGATGTCTTCAGAAACTAGTCTATTGCCAGAAAAAAATAGGAAATGAAACAAAAGACATCCCTGTCACACACCTGTCTTTATTTCAAATGTACATGTGTGCTTTCCCGCATGGAGAACTCTACATTTCACGCCTTTATTAAGTTCACAAATTTTTGTGGGATTCCATAGAGCCCAAATAATTTACAAAGAGATTCCCTTATTTAGTTGAGCACCCCCCTCCCCCTTTCAATCCCATTGCCTTTATAATTATTGGAGAGACGGATCGATCAATCGGCTTAGTCTCTGGTTAATAAAAATTGCTGTGATTATTACGCGCAGAATGAAATAAATTTAAAAAAAAAGTAATTAAAATGTAATACTAAATACACAGATGCTTAGAAAAAGGACATCTATACACTTTGGGGGGGGGGGAGAAGCTCTGTTCTCTTTAAAAAAAAGGAGGAGGGGGGTCTCAAAATCACAGAACCACCAGATTTGCAGCGCCCATGCTGGTGTGAATTCAAATGGAGAATCTAAATTGTCTATAAATCGGAGGGCACGTTTAAACAAATATGGCACATGATGATGATATATTTCCCCACATGTTGCAATTTCCCGCCTTCATACGTGATCCGGGTGTCCAGATTTAGCGCATCTGGGATTCACCTAATTATGCAAATTTTTTCATTTTATTTTGACCTCTCTGTTGTACACGTCAAAAAACATTTTTTTTAATGTCACAGTCACAAATGTACCATTATCATAATTATCATTTGTATTAAATACAAATCCCGCACTTTATTTTTTTTTAAACCACACATACATTCTGTCTCCAACACATCGTATATTCTACTTTCCACCACATACATAAATGTTTCACATAAATTCATCTTAACTCTTCCTGTTCCCCCTTTTCTATACAGTGCATCCTTTATCCGAGAGCTACATCTTTATTATCTGTGATATTGTATAATTTAAATATTGTTTCAAAAGATATACGTTTTATAATAATTCTTCGTGACCTTAAATTTAGATCTGTGTTATTAATCATTAATATCAGTAAAAGTAACTTTTATATTTGTCTACCATAAATTCGTGTTTATATTTTATGCAAATTCTCTTAAAAAAAACGGGAACGTGTATAATGTTGCATTGGGGGAGGGGAGGGGGGGGGGGGGGGGGCAGCAAACAGCTTAAGTATAATTTTTTTTTTCTAATTCAGTGATAGTACTTTACAAACAAAACCATTAGTATTACTGTTTTATGAAACATACCTTATCTTTACAAATTTGCAGCAATTCATTTTTGCTAGATGTGGGGTACCGACACGAGGATAGCTTAGATGGTGAGGGGAATAATTAACTGAAAACCTAAACGACACATAAATTACTACGAAAAGCAAATAAGAAAAGTTTGACTAAATACTATAAAAAACAAAACAAAAAGTTGCCCTCAACCTCCTTACAAATTTCTACCTGGGACAAAGTGGGGTGGGTATTTAGTGGCCGTATCTCTCAGCCTTTTGTGCCTCTTTCCTACGTATTAATGAAAATAAGGTTAGTTGCGTATCCTTTACAGGACGTTGCAGAACCTGGCTGCAATTTAAAAATTTCATTTGGCCATTATTGCGTTAGTATCAACGATTTTGATTTTTAACAACACGGAGGAAAAAAATCTGGTAGTACAGGAAGCATTGTTCAAGCAAGATGGCGGACGCCGAGGAGGTTGAAAGCGTGGAGACGACCCCAGCCAACGATGTCGTGGTCACTAAATATAAGATGGCAGGAGATATGGTTAATAGTAAGTATAATTGGTTTTAATCAAAGTATGATTGTTCTCGAAGATATGCGTTTTGCTTTCTTATTTTGATATTTGTGGTTCTAGGCTGACGATACAAATTTCCAAGATTAGTTTTCCACTCAAATTAAAGTTTGAAAAACTTTCTTCTTATCCTTATTTTTTACCCAATGCTTAGTTTTATATTAAAATAAACAAAACGTGGGTGTCCTTAGTGTTGTCTCCAGTCAACCTCATAAAAAAATTGGAATAAATAAATTAGACCTATCTGTTTTTGCCCGTCTTGACAAATGCTGGGCTTGTTGAAACGCAATAATATTTTAGCCACATGCCTTTTTTTACTTAGTTTAGTAGCACTCATTTATCCCAGTACACCTGAAGACATGGACAAAGGTATTATGGCTCTCCTCTAAACTTCTACCCGATATTATGGCGGCCAAGCAAATACCCTAACAGGGCCTCAGTCGTGTGTAAAATGCGGACTTTCTGCCAAGGAACAAATCGCGGCAAAACTAGGATTACTTGACAATTTCATGAGATGAAACGCAACACTCCAGACGATAATAGCGACAATTTCAAGCGTTTCTGTAGATGACACTAGCAGACGATAATAGCGACCATTGACTTTTTCGAGACACGCAACATTACAGACAATAATAGCAACATGGCAGGGAGACAACGCGTTCTGACGCAGATTAGCGTAGATACTTTAGTCAAATTTTTAAAATGCCCTCTACACCAATAAAACCAGCAGTTATATAGCTGTAAACAATCTCTTTCCAACGGTACCTCATTTAGGCTTGTATGTCATTTCTGAGCTGAGACATGTATGTTTTTGCGGAGATGAGATGTAAAAAAACAGCTGCTAAAACTTCCGTCCCAGAACTAAGAAACAAGAAGTTTTCTCTGCGCAGCCAAACTGCGCACGTTCGTTTTGGCTTTGTTTACATTGGACAAGATGGCAGACAATTTTTCTCAGACACAGCCACATAATAGCGATTGCCTAAAAAATGTCACTGTGAATCGAATTAGCCATACATAGGAAAGACATTTTATATACAAATGTAAAATTTTACGGAGAATTCAATTATAACTAGCATTACCATGTCAAGTAACGTTAAAGGCCTAAAGCCAGCCTTGAATACTTATCGCTATTTTTAATCAAACTGATGTAACAGAAAAACAGGACGTCCGGCTGTCGTAGACATGCGCTGTTAATCGGGTTCGTTCCCGCCGTTTTCAGCTATTTATAGCTGGTGAAAGTCACACTAATCGCAAAATTTCATGAGAGATTAGGACCCATCCCGAAACCCCAGCCAACATTTCCCAAACAAGTTTCGAACGGTTTCCGTGGTAATTGCCAAAAAGATCGCAAATTTCCTAACACTGTAGTCGCTAGATTAGCATCGTCGTTAAACTCAATGCCGGCAGTATGCCCCACGCGGAGGGAGGTTTTAGCTATATGCCTGGGACTCACGAGCAAATAAATTGAGGAAGTTGCAGGAGATGCGGTAGCTGCTACTCGTGAGTCCCAGCCATCTAGTTTAGTCCCCTGCCCCTCATAGCGGCCCGGGGACACTGGACATAGTTGCAAAAACAGGTCCGCGATCAACATATCACCAAGACCCTTTTAGAAGAGCATTTGTTTCTTTTTTTTGGAGCCGATCCTAGTTTAGCTTGATTTGTTCCTTGGCAGAAAGTCCGCATTTTACATAGCTGAGGCCCTGTTAAACTATTTGCTTGGCCGCCATAATATTGGGTAGAAGTTTGGAGGAGAGCCGTATTATTGTGTCTAAAATGAATACATTACATTTTTATAAACAAACCGTGGAAGGTTCTTATTGTTTGTTGACTTTTGTCCAGAGCCTGAATGTTGCATGCACATCCAACTTGACATTTGACATTTGATTTGTTTAATTCTCTCAATTACTTGCCTCTGTGATAGATGTATCCCTAGTTGGTCGACCCTAGGTCATGCTTGTTGGGGATGCAGTGGCATTTTTAAATGCTTATTCAGTGGAACACAGTGGGGCGTCGGAACCCACACAGAACAAGTTATCCTCTAAATAACTCCCAAATTATCGAAGCCGAAAATGTACCTTCACAGGGCCTCTTCTTCTGACTTTCTATCCCCTAATGGAGCATAGGCCCTCAACCAACTCACGACAAGTCGTTCTATTCTTCCCTGAGTCCTCCACATCTTTCTAACCTCATTCTCCAGCTCTCTTCTCCGTGTGTTTTTTGGCCTTTCTTTATTCCTATGCCCCTGTGGGTTCCAATGCAAAGACATTCTAGTTATGCTGTTCTCCTGTTTTCTCAGTGTGTGCCGTATCCAACGCCAGCCTCTTTTCCTCACCTCCTGATCCACTGGAGTTATTCTATCATACCATTTTATTCCCTCTATTCTGCGCAGGCACCAGTTAATGAATGTCTGTAATTTATTAGTAATTGCCTTGGTTGTTCTCCATGTTTTCGCCCCATACAATAGTACTGATTTGACATTAGAATTTAAAAAATTTAGTATTTCTTTTAATTTCTTTTGACCTCCACAAATTCCCTAATGCTGTGAAAGCCCCTCTTGTCTTTTGTTCACAGGGCCTCAGTTACATGTAAATTGTGGACCCGTTTATGCAGAGTTAAAGTAACTGCCAAGAGTTTCTCCTGTGGTGCTACGCGCTCGGACCCATGAGCAGCAGTTGAAGCATCTCCAGCAGCTTCCTCCATTTTTTTTTATTTTTGGCTCGTGAGTCCCAGCCATCCAGTTTAGCCCCACACCCGCGCTTAGTAGAGCAGGAGATATTCTTGATGGTATAGTCACCAGAAAGAGGTCCGCAATTTACATGTGACTAAGGCACTGTTGTGGTATATTTTCGGCCTTGATCATTTGGGACCGTTATTCGGTGGATAGCCTAAGTTTGTAAATTGAGTGCTTCTCACCTTTGTTTTTTTTTCTCTTCTGTAGATGCACATTTCTTGATTCTGTTACTTACAGAAAAACTTTCCATTTCCTTTGTTAAGCACTGGGACCTGATAATAAAAAGTATATGGTGTAACAATTATTATTTTTTTTTAAATCACTGTAATGTATAATAAGAACTTTCATATTTTGCTGCATAGCAGTTAAATTATTTATGTGCAGCTGGTTCATAGCTTAAACACTTTGTCATGAAACGGTGTGTATTTTTTGACAGCCATCCTGAAAGAATTGATTGCCAAGGTCAAAGATGGAGCTACAGTCTTGGAACTGTGCGAGTTTGGTGATAGACGCCTCAGTGAGGAAACATCCAAAGTCTTCAAAAAAGACAAGGAAATGAAAAAGGGTAAGCCGCCTTTTTGAAAAACGGAATCTTTATTTTTCTCAGCATTTACCTATTCTGGACTTTTTAGTCTTGAAGTTTTGCATGCACATCCATTTTAAAGAACATGGTTATTTGTATGCAGACTGTTGGTTCCTTGCCTCTTAGGGAGACACTCTGACTGTGAAGGACTTTGTCGTCTGTGACAGCATGCTTGATGAACAGTGTAAACCAAAACCCACACAGGATTTTATAACTGAATCAAGAATATTCAAGAATACTTTTGTGAATATGCTCTATAATGGTCATGTTACAGTTCGAAAGGAGGCATGAAGAGTAGGTGATTCAGGAAGCGATGTTGAATCGGCTACAAATTAAAAGATTACACAAACTTAAGGCCAAAAAAGGCGTTGCTAAAATGTCTGTTCTTTTAAATTTAGGCACTTGGAACAAAATATGTTAACTGCTGTCGAACACCGTACAGGTAGCTAAAGATTTATAGTAAAGCAACACAAAACTGATGTCACCACATGCTGAGGGTATACTAAAGATAAGATCACAGCGCTTTAGGACTAATCTGAGAATAAGCTGTCGGTTAACTAACTAGAAATAGGAGAAAAACTATAATTGCATACACTGCGTTTTTAGCAATATTGCAGAATACCATTTCTTCTTTATTCTCTTCTTACAAATACAACTTCCTCTCTTGGCTGTTGATGATAGGAACAGAGTGCTTATTGTAGTACTATAGTATCGGTTCTTATAACTTAACTTTAAATATTGTGCTTTCTAACTCAGCTGCGATATTTGCATTGTTCGACCCAACACAGCCACATTCAGCATAACCGTAATTAGTTAAACAGGCTTATTAAAGGGCAGTGGTCTGATCTGGTTACCGTGAGAAAGCCCTGGAAGCCACATATGCATAAAAACTTTCTTTAAAAAGTTGCTGTATCGCAAAATACCAGAAACACAAGATATAAAAGTCATGCTCAGTGGCACATGAAAGGAAATATGGTTTTTGGAATGGATTGTCAGGTTACTGATGTATGAAAAGACATATTCTCAACGCATATTCTTCCTGGCAAGGTATAACAAGATGATTATTCTGTGAGGTGCATTTCAATAATGGGTTGAGAACTGATTATGCACTCAAAGACATACCCATAAGCTCTCTCCCCGTCTTCAGTAGCTGATGCAGAGTTCAAACGGTACCAGTCTGATAGTATCTCTGTTTTGCCATTACCTTGCATGTTCCATGACTTTCGGATCCCTTAGTCATTGCCTGCTGCGCCATTAAAGTAATATTTGAAAATAATTTAGCCTAACAAAGATTTTCTGATACTCTTTACAGGTATTGCCTTCCCTACATGTGTGTCCGTCAACAATTGTGTCTGCCATTTCTCCCCACTCAAGTCTGACCCAGACTTGATTCTGAAAGACGGCGATGTTGTCAAAATGTAAGATTTACTTTCAGATTAATTAACCGATTTAAAAAACAGTTGTTCAAATTTATCTAAACTAATTATTGCATTTCCTCTATTTGCCATTGCCAGGGTGGCTAAGCATATTGTGTAATGGTTTACAGCTAGGCCACACCTTTTTTGTCCAGCACATAATCTCAGCAAACCCCCGAGTCAATGTTTACTAAATGTTTTCAGCGGGCAGTGAAAGTGTTCTCCCCCCTCCCCCCCTCTCAATGTGGGTTCCCGGAACCAGCACAGCAAGGTCACTACAGATGAAATGTTATGCTTGACATTTATAAGTAAAAGACTCCATGACTGCACCTGTAATCATGTGGTGTTAGCCCACAAATGTTTTTAGACCAGTCATCAGGGAGAAATATTTCATACTACCTACATTTCTCCCAAGAACAGTTTCTGTCTACCATATTAGACTGGGTTAAATCTTCAGTCTCCCTTTGGTCCCGGTTCTAAATGAGAGAGGTATGTTGAGCAGGTTGTTTTCATTCCTTGCTATCTCAGTAACAGAAAGCTGCGTTTCAGCTCTGCATTTATGGAAGCGCTTTTGGGCCGCAGATGGGGGGGGGGGGCTTGTCATTCTAGGAACGGCTGCTGCAGGCAGGACTGGATTAAGAAGCAAGATATTTGTTCTCTGTTGTGTCCCCCTAGAACTCAACCCCAAATGCTATTTCTGATGTCGGATGTGTTGGCCGAAAGGTGCAACTATTGGAGCCATGCTGTAAATAGACGCACGGGTATAATCAAATAAGAGACTGTTGACCTAAATTATGTTTTCTCGAACTATGTTTATACTATGGACATTAGCTTATGTCACAGACTCTAGCTAAAATCAACTCAAATATGCACAGATATCCCTTACCCTAGTCTGAAAACTTGAAGACATGTATTTCGCCTTTCTTCGACAGAGATTTGGGTGCTCATGTTGATGGCTACATAGCAGTGGCAGCTCATACTGTTGTTGTTGGTGCCTCAAAGGTGATTTTTTGTTTGTTTGTTTTTCTCATTATGTATATTGTATGTTCAGCCTACTGTAGCAGCTACTCAGGCCTTAATATGTGGCAAGGGAAAACAAAGAAAAACTGTATATTTTCTAAGGCTCACATATTAGGCACGTAAATATACTTAAATGGTGCAACAGTGAATATCTGAGGAGTCTGGACTTAAGGGAGAAGCAAGGTGGAGATACAGAACCAACCCTAAAATGTATTATTAGCTGTTTGTGATTTTACGCTAAACAGTTTGCCGTTTTCTATCTGAATGATCAGCTCTCATTGCCAGCGCAAGGTAGTCTACTGCCAAATTGCCTATTGTGAGAATGAACGCTGCCCCTGAGAGTTACCAAGCACATTCTCTGTGTCTAAACTAGATGCTGACACAATATCAAGCGTGTTTACAGGCTAAAGTTTGCATGTGGATGGGGGAATTACGGAACTTTCTGTTAGAATTTACAGTGATAAACATAGAGATTTAAAACCTATAAAGTTACTGTCACTGAATGCTTATTTTTTTTTTTAAGGAGAATCCAGTAACTGGAAGGAAGGCAGATGTCATCATAGCCGCACAGAAAGCTCTAGAGGTGGCTCTCAGACTTGTAAAACCTGGAAACACGGTACGTTGGCATGTTAAAAAGTATGTACCTTTAACTGGTAGGAACTATCGTTGTTTTGTACAGCGACAGACACTTTACATGGCTGCCTATCTTTGTACTCCTGCAGACAAGTTTGTTAAGCGACATGGCTCGTTATCACTATGCCCATATAACAGCTTTGTTTGCTGCTTCATAGTGTGAAGGCATTTTTTAACGTGCATTTGTGACATAGTAAAATTATGGTGACATCACTTTGTTCTCTGACTGTGTCAACAAGATCCCTGTTTTCCTGGTCAGTGGAAGAAATGCAGTTATTTCTTTGCTGTTCGTATTTGGTGACTGCTTCCCTTCATGTTGAAACAAAAAAGAATAATCTTTGTACAAGGTGACAAAATATATAAAACCCATCTTATTAATGACTCAGTTGCTGCAGTGACACTGCATTAGCTTGCAGACTTGCTTGAAAAAGGACATTTTTTTAATTGTTGTTACGAGGGGAACACTTTACTACAGGATCACAATTTCATTTTTTCATGAAAAAAAACATAATTTTTCTAAGTGTTTTTGTTAAAGTTTGTTGCATTCGATGAAGAATCATCTGCCAGGCCAGGTGAAAGCTCGGGACGCACCTGAATCAGTACATGACCTCTGGACGAAGTGGGGCTTGACAGTCACGGCGCTGTAGTAGCCATAATTGAGGTTTAGCTTAACTGCAGTCAGGTCACTCCATACGTGTTCCATTTCTGTGTCAGTAAAAATCAATTGAAATGTCTCGTACTGTGCCACTTTTATATGTTAAAAAACAACTGCTGGGCAACAGTCCTATCACAGTCCAGAAGTATGGGCCTTTAGTTTGTATTGAGGGGCACGTATTTAGGCACAATGAGTTGCCATACATGCAGTCTTTGCCATCCCACATGTAAACAGGCTACCAACCATACTGAATACCATGACACGAATGGACTTCCCACATGGCATAGTTCATCCTGCTGTACCAAGCACCTTAATCAGTAGCGGAGGGAGCAAACCCGTAGATGTTGTAGCTACATAAGCAGAGTGTCATGAAAAGTAAAGATCCCTTTTCACGTCTTTTATGTGTATCAGGCATATTGAAAGAGCACCCATATTTTTCCAGACAGTTCGGTACTAGTTGGGTAATTTTGTCAGCATTACGCCAGCCGTCTTTACTTCCTCATGACATACATCCTAGTACCCATTCAAGACTGGGTCAACCTGCGACAGTGTCATTAGGGGTTTAAAAAAAAATGCCCTAAAGCTAAACATTCTGACGTGCCTATTGGGTCAAGAAAATCTCTTAAGTTCAGCATAGTCGATTGCACAAAGTTTGTCATTTGTAAACATAGAAAATATTATAAGACCCAGAAATCACAAGTCATTTAGATAGAGTACATTTTTTTAACGTGCATTTGTGACATAGTAAAATTATGGTGACATCAATTTGTTCTCTGACTGTCAACAAGATCCCTGTTTTCCTGGTCAGTGGAAGAAATGCAGTTATTTCTTTTCTGTTCCTATTTGTACAAGGTGACAAAATATATAAAACCCATCTTATTAATTAATGACTCAGTTGCTGCAGTGACACTGCAATAGCTTGCAAGCTTGCTTGAAAAAGGACATTTTTTTAATTGTTGTTACGAGGTGAAAACATTACTACAAGATCACAATTTCATTTTTTTTCATGAAAAAAACATAATTTTTCCAAGTGTATTTGTAAAAGTTTGTTGCATTTGATGAAGAATCATCTGCCAGGCCAGGTGAAAGCTCGGGACGCACCTGAATCAGTACATGACCTCTGTGGACGTAGTGGGGCTTGACAGTCACGGCGCTGTAGTAGTCATAATTGAGGTTTTAGCTTAACTGCAGTCAGGTCACTCCATACATGTTCCATTTCTGTGCCAGTAAAAATCAATTGAAATGTCTCGTATTGTGCCACTTTTTATATGTTAAAAAACAACTCCTATCACAGTCCAGAAGTATGTGCCTTTAGTTTGTCACTGACGGGCATGTATTTAGGCACAATGAGTTGCCATACATGCAGTCTTGCCCATCCCACATGTAAACTGGCTACCAACCATACTGAATACCATGACACGAATGGACTTCCCACATGGCATAGTTCATCCTGCTGCACCAAGCACCTTAATCAGTAACGGAGGGAGCAAACCCGTAGATGTTGTAGCTACATAAGCAGAGTGTCATGAAAAGTAAAGAACCCTTTTCACGTCTTTTATGTGTATCAGGCATATTGAAAGACCACCCATATTTTTTCAGACAGTTCGGCACTAGTTGGGTAATTTTGTCAGCATTACGCCAGCCGTCTTTACTTCCTCATGACATACATCCTAGTACCCATTTAAGGCTGGGTCGACCTGTGACAGTGTCATTAGGGGTTTAAAAAAATAAATATACCCTAAAGCTAAACATTCTGCCATGCCTATTGGGTCTAGAAAATCTCTTAAGTTCAGCATAGTCGATTGCACAAAGTTTGTCATTTGTAAACATAGAAAATATTATAAGACCCAGAAATCACAAGTCATTTAGATAGAGTACATTTTATACCAAAAAAATAGCAATGTTTGACATAGCCTATTCTTATAAATTTCATTTTCTACTTTGTTCAACAGAATTACCAAACAACAGATGGTATTCAGAAAGTTACAGAAGACTTCAAATGTAAACCAATTGAAGGTAAGTTTCTAACCAGAAAGATCTCATCTGCTGTTATCTATATAACACACTTTGTTGTATGTTCTCTCTGGTACAGTGGTTTTACATGGTCGCTGTTACAGTTTTGAGAGTTTGAGTAGACTACATTTTTTAACAGCAAAGAATTTTTGCAAATGCATGTCAATTTTTGAATCTGAAAAAAAAAAGACATCACCTGAAAACCGCCCTGGTGCATTTTTTTTAGAACAAAAATTAATAGAAGACTGGCTTGTTTTTGGAAGAACACAGTAAATATCATTAAAATACTTTTTGCTGCACCTTAATGGTGCTAGTATAATAATAATACTTGTAAATACTATATCTTAGCGAATAGCACTTAGCATCGTATAAGTTTTGATGAATGGATGTTTTCTTGTGACCATTAATGTAAAATGCATATTTATTAAGAAAACTTATGTGGCTTGTCTCTTGCAGGAATGCTCTCCCATCAGCTTAAGCAGCACATTATTGATGGACAGAAAGCAATTATACAGAACCCAAGCGAAGCTCAGAGGTGAGTCTTGTTAAATAGCTGTAGTCTACTGAAGGGACTGGCGTTTCTTCTTCTTTAGCATTTAAAGCCCTTCAGGTTCATTGATGTTGATAGTTTTTACATCTCATTTCATTTGACATTCTCTCAATATTTCTTTGCTGCTCCTTTCCCTGCTGTTTGCATCAGGCAGGCTCGAAGGTTAAAATTTTTTTTTTAATATTGTGCCTTTTTCGCCCACTGCAATCTTAAGAAACATTGCATGATGAGGCGCCCGTCTCTTACCTAGTGTTATTCTCTTACTACTGTCCAAATAAATGGATTACTGCGGAAATTGAACCCAAGTGCTACAGTTGTAACATGTTGATTGCTGAGCTAAGCGCTGATATCGCAGCACCTTTTACATTCCTACTAGCACTCTGTCCTCATCTTCAGGAGCCAGTAAAGAGTTTCAGTTTAATTGATTCCAGTAGCAATTTGATTTTATGTCTGTCTTGCCTTTCCTCTGAGTGTATCAACCAGATTCCCTGGTTACTCCTAGTTGTACCATAGTGAATCAGTCTGTCCGGTAATATTCCAGCTGTAAAAATATATATATCCAAAGAATGCTAACTACCAGGATCTACACAGCAATGCTTGCTAATTACGCATGTAGCTCCTAAAGTACCACGGGCTGAACTTGGTAGACACTTTTGGTAAACATGTAATAATCATTAATAGTACACCTGGTCCTCAAGCTTTGCTGGTTTAAATGTAATGACCCCAATCAGTTCAAAATTTTATAACACAGTTTTTTCTCCGCATTTAGAGATTAGGTTTACCCCCCAGCCTATGCTACCAGTTTGAGACACGGTCACTCAAAACAAACTAGAAAAAAAAATAAGTGACCACACAAATGAGATACAGTGAAAACCAACAGTCCGCATACAAGTGAGCCTGTTATGTAAAATGTATGTCATACATACCACAGATTCTGGGACAAGACCAGGACCCTGGCCCAGAGTTTGCAGCATGTAGTGTTTAGAAGAACGTACTAGACAGTCAAAATGACATTGCATATTTTTTTTTTTTTCAAATTAAAAATCATTACAATGGTCTTGTTATCTTATGTTTCGCCCACACAGGAAAGATCATGAATCTTGTGAGTTTGAGGTCCATGAAGTATATGCAATTGATATACTGGTCAGCTCCGGTGACGGCAAGGTAATTGGTTTTTTATTCTTTTTCTGCGTTTACCCAAACACGTAAGTGCCTTGAGCTAGTTTACAAGGCCGCCGCGGTATGTGCCGACAGTTCCCCCCACCAGAATAAGTGAATAAGCTATTATTGGCGGAAGCAGTCTTTCAATACACACAGTACTGCATAAAGCATACACCAGTACGTGCAAAATAATATCCCAACATTCTGACTGTTTATTTTTGTAATACGTCAGTCAGCACTCAACTTATCTGAGGACATATGCCCAGGTAATTTTTTTAATAATCTTTTACATACGAATCGTGGGCTATACTTGACTAGGAAAAACACAGGAATTACTAGAATGTTCAAATAAATGTTGGCAAAAACAAAGGTAGAATGCAGAGACTCGTCAGCAACTGAGTTGATGCACAAGGACCAGAGTTCAGCACCATTGATTGTTTCACAAATATGAATATTTATCAGGGTTTTTTTTTTTTTTTTGCAGGGGAGGGGTGTAATAGTATAGTTATCTTGTCTTCAGTTGTAGTCCAGCACGTTTTTTAGGATGCCTCCGTGGTGTAGCAGTTAGACACTTGCGGGTTTCAATCCAGATTTGTGGCTTTTCAAACATGACATTGGCTGCCAGGTTGACCTGACCGTGGCTTGATAGCAGGCACAGTCCTGGGGAGTAAAGGCGGTTGGCGTCATCCTTACCACATCGCCCACCTAGTGCTGACTGGTCTTTAAAAAAATATCCCTAATACACCTGAAGGTGCAAAAAAGGTTCCTTTGCTTATGTCTGATGTTAGCAAAACCTTAATTAGCCGGCTTGTTACTTGATCTTTTCTTTGTTGCCAAATAAAGTTGTACAACTGGTCATCCCATCCCACCTTGCTCCATCACTTTTTTTTTCTTTAAAAAATGTAAACTGACCATTTCCTAAGAAGTAATGGCAGTTGGTGTATGTTGGCCACATCGTTTGTCGAGGGTGATTGGGGTAAAAAAAAACATATTGGCGTCTAGCCCTGGATGCGCCAGTGGCGTAGAAAGGGACTATTCTATATAGCAGTGGGCTGCGGATCATCACGATTTGTATAGTATTCATAGTCTTACTATCTGGGATTCTGGTCTATGTTAGCTGAGTTGCCCAGGTCTAGGCTGTTTGTTTACTTGTTGATTTATTCATTTTTCAGGGAAGAGAGTTGGATACAAGAACCACAGTGTACAAAAAGAAAGACATTGTATACCAGCTGAAAATGAAGGCCTCTAGACGTAAGTATTGTAAATTTATTTATTTCACAATTCTTGCAATTCTTAGTTTTCAAAACATAGTGTGCAGCACAAACGGGGGATAACCATGGCAAAGTTGCCAGCCGTTTGCTTCCCGTTCGGGTGTAACTGTTGCACCATTCAGTTTACAAGTTAAATTTTTAAGGAGATCCCAAGGGGTCATCGCTGAAGCTAGAGTTCATGCTTTGTGCAAAGCTCTCGGCAAGAAGCTGCTGCAATACAGGGTAAACCTGGTGCAGTGAAGTCCATCCTCCCTTTAACAGTTAGTCAAGAAACAACCCAGCTGCATACAGATAAGCCTGTAAAACGATGTGCACGCCAAACATCAGGCCCTGACACAATGCCAAATGGACGAACACACATGACTTTCTAGTCGGTGAACAAAGATGAACAACAATCTGCCTCTTCCTCACTGCACTTTGATATAATCACAAAAGGACGGAGGCAACATAGATTTCTGACTAGCTGTTTATAACCTTTATTACCTTGTTTATTGAAGTTTTCTAGTCAGTTTGTGGGAAGTAAGGAAGTTGCAATTCATTGTTCAGTGTAGATATAAACAGTCAATTGTCAAGTCGGCATTAAAAAAAAATATGCAGATCCATGCTTGATTTTTGAGTGGCCATTTGGGAAGCAAAGTGATGATATTGAAATATTTGCTATTTGAGATAGTTTGATGGAAACAATTCACCA